AAGCGTTTGGTAATACAAATACGATGACACAATATATCAATATCATTGCCAGTTGCAAGTACCTACATCATTTGGCCGCAGAGAAAAACTAGTTAATTGCGAAATGCGTAGATTTACATTCACTAAAAATATTAATATTAATTTTCGCCAACACTTTGCATAAAATTGTTTACGGAGGTGGCCGATGCGCCTTTCTTCGATACATCGGTATAGGTTCAATGAATGCAAGAATCCTCGATTGCGGAGGTTGTAACTTTTATGGTAGATCAAAATATATGCTCGATTCTTTGACATAATGGTCTACAGGCAACGCCCACCCAATTGTCTTCTAAAATTTAAATCTCACTTTGTTCTCAAATTACGTAATTTTTTTAGAAAATTCACACTTACAGGAGTTACAGTATTGCAATCATCAATTGCAGGGGTTGTAATTTTAGTCGTAGATCAAATATTTTTGGTTTCAGAGATAAATTTTGTTTGAATGATTTATAAGCAACCCTGAAAATGCCCTCTAAAAATAAATTTACTTTTTGTTTTAACTCATGTCTAACTTTTAGAAAATGCTCACTTACATATGCATCAATCGTTAATTGGAACACCAAATATTTTTGTTTCTTTCATAGATTATTAACGAGCGACAAAAAGCGAGTTCATGATTTTGGACTTTCTGTCCCGTCTGTGTACACGATAACTCACGAACGGTATCGAATTTTTCAATTCTGTTTTCAGTAATAGGTAGCCACTGGTCAAGGGATTAACTGTTTCAATTATGGTGAATACTCATCAACCGGAAGTCACCTTGTCGTTCGTTGTCTATATTGCTGCAGTTTATTTCTTATAAACAACTCTACAATTAAACTCTCATCTCATATCTACTATGATGAGCTTTGCCTCGATTGCGGGAGTTGTAGCTTTTAAGGTACATGAAATATTTTTGTTTAAATAGATTATGACTAACTGGTCTACATAAGGCATTTTTTTTTTTTTTTTATAAGGCTTTTTTCGGGGATCTAAGCCCATTTAGCCACGGTAACATACTATGGGAAGAAACAAGGACACTCGCTTCTCGCCCAGAGGTCTATCAAGGCTTTTCAATGACAATACTGTACACGACCATGATGGTTAACGAGGAATAGGGTGGCACAGAGGATAAGACAGCGGAAAACAGAATTTTATATGAATTTATATACGGTCAAATATTTAGTTTGATTTTATGAATAAAATCCACTAGCAGATCAAACACCCCTCGGTCGTTACTTCTTAATACGGTGACTATATTTAATGGGTACACAATTCCCTTGTTCTGCAGTCCTTCGTACAATTTATATGTATGTGTTTTATTCAAGGGACAGTTAAAAAAAATGTGATTAAGGTCTGCAACAGGTTCACCGCAAGCACATTGCGGGCTATCCAACACTTTGATCTTGTGCAGGTGCGCGGGAAATCTTCCGTGGCCAAACTTCAATCTGGCTATTATGACGTCATATCTGCGAGAGACAACGTTTTTGGAGTTACTCCACGGACGAAGTGTTACTTCCGGATGAATTAAGGCATACTGTGTGGGTTTTATGCTATAAGCATTTTTCCAATGTACTGTCCATTGGGTCTTTAAAATATCGGACTTTGCCACACCTATATAATCAGATTTTGCAATTTTGTTTTCGAAATATATATCTGATTTGATGGCTTTCTTTGCCAACATGTCCACCTGCTCATTAAGAAGAATTAATACCGCTGTGCCCTTTAATCCAATAAAATTTTACATTCCTTTTAAACTTCAGAGCTCTTAATGTAATGTTGGAAACTATAGGGTTTGATTGTAATCTTCCTATCTTATTGTAGTTTTTTAAAGCTTGCAGCACGCTAAAACTATCAGTCATGATCGCCACCTTATTACTAGACGCGCTATCCCCACAGTGGAGCAGTGCCTGCCAGATTGCGTATGCTTCTGCTGTAAATATGGATGTAGAATCGTTTAGTTTAAAACATCCTTTCTCTTGGCTTCTCGCGTTTACGAATGCGCATCCACAGCCTTGATCACCCTTTGATCCGTCTGTATACAAAATTATGTGATCCCAAAGTTCAGCTGTAATGGAGGTGTGGAGCTTACGATCGTGGTCGGGCTGCCCAGTGTACGGTGGAAAAACTACTTCGAGGCCCTTTAAATATTCCCCAAACGCTATCTCAAAATTACTTTGTGGAAAAATGCTCGAGTTAAAAAGGGTGGAGAACTTTTATTTTGCCAAAACCTAGAACATAAATCCAAAACAGTGAGATTGTTTACTTTGGAAATAAGCACGTTAGCGTTTATTGCTAGGATTTTAGCTACGTATTTGACTGCCAAAAACGGGCGACGCAGGTGCAGCGGGGGTTCTTGTGCTTGAATTAGCAACGCATTTATTGGTGTCGAACGCATGGCTCCTATGGCTAGTCTCAGAGCTTTATTTTGCATAACGTCGATCCTTTTAAGTTTATCCTTGGATGCATTGCCGTATAAAGTACTACCATAGTCTATTAATGATCGCGTATAACTGCGATACATAGTTAGAGCGACTGAAGTGTGGACACCCCAACTAACTCGAGTCATAAGCCGTATAAGGTTCAGTGACCTCTCACATCTAGATACGAGATTGTTTATGTGTTTTGACCACGAAAGTTTGTCATCTAGCGTTAACCCCAAATATTTGACCTCTTTGACCACAGGGAATTCTACCCCGGCTAGTTTAATTGCACCACAATTATTCTGTCTCCTACGAGAGAAAAATACCACAGAGGATTTAGCGTGTGACATCTCAAATCCGTTATTTAATAGCCATGGTTTCAATATCACCATAGCTCTGTCTAATGCCAGTTTAAGCTGCTCAAGCTTTGGATCAGAAGTATACAATACAAAGTCGTCAGCGTATTGGATGACATCTGCTTCGCGCGATAGAGTAGCAAACAAATCCAAAGTATACAAATTGAATGGCATTGTTTAAGTATTTTCTACAAACAAAATCCTATCCTCTGTTCAAATTACCTATTCTTTTTAGAAAAATACTCGGAGAAATTCAATCGCCAATTGTAAGAGTTGTATGTAGTACACCAAAAAATTTCTTCTCTGTCATAGATTATGTAGAAATGATCTATAAGCAACCCTTTAATTGCATTCAAAAAAAGTTTTTTCTCGTTTTAAAGTTACGTAATTTTATAGAAAAATTGCTTACATGCACCGTGATTTCATTTTTTGAGGTGATGTTTAAAAGTAACTTATCTATAAAACGGTCGGTATATTTTTTCCATACATCGTCTTGATCGGGAGTAATATATAAAACAGATTAGCGCAATAATCGAGGCAATAATCGGTGCAAAACATCAAATCTTTAAACAATTGGTATTTAGTTACTATAAACTTTTTTTTTTAAAATAATCCGAACATTTTGTAGATAAAGGTCTACATTTATAAAATAGTTCTTAAAAAAATTGTTTTATGGCGGGCGCTCTTATGCAAATTTACATAACCAGGGACCCTTAGTGCCGCAGTCGCGCTTCCACGTCACTGCGCCACACAGGCTGGCCCACAATTATACAATGCTGATTACAAATTACGCCATTTTTTAGGAAGGTTTTTCAAAGGAGATAAAGGAAATAATTTTCCAATATTTTTTTTCGGAAGTGTACGAATATCCAAATTAGGTGTGGTTGGACGTCAATTACGTTAAATGGGAAAAAGGTTTTTTTGCAGATTGTTGCTTTCCATGTTAACTTAGAGAGTTTATAATGACATCAGTCGAAAGAAGATTTTTTCTCTCATTTAGTGATATTCCAATTAGTTCATTTTTAGTTGTATTTCTCATAATTTTATCAAAAATCAACTGGAAACTTTGTAAAAAATTGAAAAAGCTTTCTATGAATTTCTATAATGATGGATCATTGCGTAAACTTCATTAACATTGATCGCATCGTGTTTATTCGAACATTGTTTAAACAAAAATCACAGAAATTGCATTTTAGTAAATACCTAAAGGGAAGAATTTTCAGATTGATGGACTATTTGTTGTATTGTCGACACAGACGGAATAGGACGCTCATTAAACTGCACACAAAACAAATGTCGTACACTACGGTCCCTATTTCGTAGTATTCGTTTTTTATATTAGGTACAAATTTTTTTCCTCGGTGAATACATTTTATAAAAAAAAATTAATGATAGTTGAAACTGATATTGATTTCCATTTATAGATATATAAAATAATTCGAAGAAGCATCTCTTCTGTGTTGCGGGCTACCTATTACAAATTTTAGGATTCTAGGACGATGTCCATGCAAACAGTTTGATAATATTTAATGTAAATAATGTCCAAGTTTTCCTTTTTGTCGAGTTAATAATAAAATTTATATAAATACTTATATGTATATTTAAAATACAAAAGCTAACACTAATGAACCAAAGTTATGGTTGCTTATTACCCTCATAATTTACATGTGTACAGTGGAATAATTAATAATAATAAATCGTTTATTGGGATTAACATAGAATAATCATATATGGTGCAGTGAACATTACTATTATAAACTCATTTCAGTTTCCCCCAAGGGGTTAAGATTCGAATTGATCAAACAAGATTCACATTGGTTATTTATGTATTCGTAAGCATAGTTTGGTATATTTATTGTTGTATCGTTATTTCTAACTTCATAAGAAATATCCAAATCTGTTGCTAGCTAGGTTATTACTAACTTCACACGGTTCTCCAGAACTCATAATTACAACTTTAATTTTAAATTTATTTTAGCATTTGCTAGTTATGTGTTCATTTTGCACAATTTATTAGGAAAAAATGTATTAACAGAAATGCTATTGCTGGAGTCTATTTGCGAATTCCAAACGCGAGGGAGGAATTTCGTAAATGAATATCGAACTTGCAACTTACCTGCACACACATTAATATTATTGTACCTAGTGTTTCAACTAGATTTGAAGTTTTTATTATTATCCTTAACATTTTTTTTATTTCCAGTTTAATATGGAAATCTGGTTCCTGCCCCTTCTGCTGTGTGTCGCTGCAGCGGCAGTTATCGCATCGACGCTTTGCCCAGATTCATGTACTTGTCTGGGAAATACTGAAGCGCATTGCACGTCTCTGCAATTTACAAAGAAGAAGCCGAATAATCATTTTCAACATTTATCCAAACTGGATGTGAGTAACGCAGGAATATTTAAATTAGGTTACAATCTGAAGGCATTTTCCAACTTAAAACATTTAAATTTATCATGGAACAAGATCCAACATGTTTCAGCACAATTTCTACCGGAATCTTTGGAGACTCTCGATATTTCGCATAATTATATTAAATACTTTCCCCGAAAATTACACTCACTGCCTAAATTGAAGGAGGTTTCCTTCGAAGGTAATCCCATTCACTGCGATTGCGATTCGGCCTCAGACTTTTGGGTATTGCAAAAAAATGATGTAACCGTACACTTTCCCAAATGCGTTGGACCAAACGGGGGTAATTTTTTGCAATCGATTAAGTGCCATGACGATCTGTTCGGAAATATGCAGGGCGATGCACCGTACGAAGGATCCGGGTCTGAGACTACAATAGAAGAAGAAATGGAGAGGGAGTATATAATTCCCGACATAACAACCGCTCCCGAAGAGACAACAGAACCACCCAAAGCAGTAGAGGAAGAAGGTAGCGGCACGGGAATAGACACTCAGACCCCTGAAGAATATGACGATGGTTCCTCCTCTACAACCGACGAGTACGACTACGATAATGTTACGGACTTAATTGAACCAGTAATTACACAAGTCAATGAATCAAAGTTGAGCAGCATCTTTGTCAAACCATGTAATTTCGATTGCTCTACCCCATTTCCGATCGACAGCAGCAATGATACTAGCGAATCACCATCGCCCAACTTAGTAGACGGTTTTCTAATGATTGCAAACGACTTGGGAATTCTTGACGATGGAAAAAATGACAATGATACCCTAACCACAAGCGACTTAGTTGAAGTAACCACCGAACCGTACAACAAAACGGCTAGTGCAGTAATCACCGACCCAGGGTTGAATTTGAAAGAAAAATCTGGAAAAGTCACTACTGTTGAAACTGAATCATCTAACACCTCTTATATATTTTTCGGGCTGTTTCTCTTGTTAATTGTCGGCGGAGTTGCGTACGTTTGGTATAAACGGTCGAGAGCAAGTCGACATAATCGTGCCCCGCAGACGAATGGTGAAGACAAAACCGAACCGATGGAAGAAGTTGAACTCCTGACAAAGGCTCCCGCTGATGACGGTCATCAAAACGGAAGGCCAGAATCTGTGCCGTTCATTAACGGTAGTAAAGACAATAAACCTAACGAAGACGACGACAATTATATAAACTCTGTTAAGGAACCCGAACCAAAGAATGAGGAGGATGTGGAGCTCAGGAAGCCCCCGCGTAAAAACGTCCCACTGTCATCTGACACGAAGCGCGTAACCATAAAGGCCGGCGAGATTCCCAACTCGACTCCCAAGACACCAGTTTTGGTAACCCGACATCTCAATAGTGATGGAGACATAGTAACGATACCAAATGTTGATCAAGATGTTTAAGTGGCTAGTGTTTAATTTTAATAACCGATTATGTTTATGTAATTTGTGATAATCAAAGGGTTTGTTCCTACGGTGCAACGTTCTGTTATCCAGTTTGGCTACGTAGTTCTCTAGAGATTGCACACTTGCCTTTCAATTTAAGAAGAGACTGAATGTACGTTTTTTTTTCAAATATTATTTAATGACAAAACGATTTGAATTAAGCCTAGTATTACCAAAGTTTCGTTTTTTTTTTAAATAGTTATACTTAGCACTATAATATTGTTGTTCGAATAGTTTGTATAGGTATTCGTTTGTACTGAAAATGCGTTATTTTTTAAATATTTTATAAAATGCGTTATTAATATTATAAATCATTAATACCGTCAAATAAATGCATTTCATTTATCGTTACAGGTGTTTATTTCATACATTTCATACCAATACCTAGTGAAAGTGCTCCAGTGAGTGGTTCGAGGTAAGTCAATCATTATTTTACTCGATTTATTGATTATTTTTAGTACAGGTTGAAATAATAATTTTACATTTTAAATATCTTTACCGTCAAGTAATATCTTTAAAGTTGTCGAGCTAATTTTAAGGTAATTTCTTGTTTGATAAACTTTTTGGAGCCACTTAAATATTCAATTATGGAACTTTACCTTGACTCATGTTCATAATTTTGTCGTCTGCATGAATTATCGACAATTTTAAAAATATTAGTAGGTCAACGTCTCGATCTTACTATTTATACCACATCACTTTCGAAATGGCGTTACGCCATGAAACCTTATCTGAAACTCTAAAGATAGTTAATACCCATTTGCCTTGGGTTTGATTAATCACGAAAGATTTGGAAACTGTATATGTATTTGGTGCTAGCCCAGGTTCCAAAAAAGAATGTAGTAGTAAAACTATCTACCCAAACCTTTCTCAAATACGAGTATACTCGCAAATATGTTATCCAGGCACTATAATAAAAAAAGTTCAAGTACGTTAAATTGTATACATGCGAATTAATTCAAGTGGTCATTTAATTTAAAATATATGCCCCTATTATAATAGTGTTGACTATAGAAGCATTACTTGTAGTCGCAACTCGGCCTTGAGATTGTCAAGGTCGGTGTACATATTTTGCCATCATATATCTGCATGAATTTTCGTTACCTTATAATATGTCCCTGAAGTTAGCTTAGGATCGGATTCAGATTCACAAACTGACAAATATTACAGATAACAAGCTACCAAATTATGATTGTATAAAATGAATGTATAAAAATGCATACAAGCATATAATGAAAATGACTTAAACTAACTACGATGAGGCTTGCAAAACCCTACAAAACAACAAAAATGGTCAAACTACTCCTTATATAAATATTACCGATAAGTATCACTTATTGGTTTATAATTAACTTATACTGGCGACAAAAATGTTTAAAAGTCCAGATAAATGTAACAAGCACTTCTGCAGAGAGACCTTTTACAGATTGAAAATGACAAATTTTATAACTATATTTGCAAAAGGGCCGAAACAACCTTTAGAAAATCATGATAAAAATAAGAAACACTTCTGCTAAGAAGACACGAATTTACTTTCTATGCTTTTCAGTAAAAATCTAAAGACTAAAATCTTCTTGTTAAAACGGTAAGCTAAAGTGACTGCAAAAAATAAATAAAGGAAAAAGCTCACAGAGAATATTATTTTAATTTGAGTTGCAACCCTTACATTATTTCAACGCGCCCAAAAAAACCTTGCATTCAAATTAACTATAAGAAATAGAAAATTCCTCAACTGTATTATACGGAGTGGCGGAAAAGTATGGAATCAGCGAGCTACAGTCGTAACTATTCTTTATATTGATAATATAATATCAAACAACTTTCATCTCACACTTTTTGTAATATAACGAATGCTTAAGGCTGTAGCTCGCTGATTCCATACTTTTCCGCCACTGTGTATAGATGAGCAAGTAATCTAGCCCCCCCCCCCCCATCCAAACCTCGAATGTTTTTACTTTATGCATTCGGATATAAGAAGTTGGACCGGAAGCATATGAAAATCAAAAAAATTATACGTAAATCCTCATCGGAATTGGGGATCGATATACTTGTAAAATGCTAAATTATTACAAAGTAACATCTCTGCAGTATGGTTTAAATTTGAACATTTAAATTGCAAACAGGGCAAATTGTGGATAGATTAGCTACATTTTTCACCGGGCAGATCTCAAACTGAGCGGGAGGAATTGTAAGCTTCTTATGCACTTGAACTTGAACTCACAGTTGAGTGCAGTAGGCACATGCATGATGAACGTTTCCCATTTAGAGTAATGAATGAACATCAAATTGGAAACAATATAAATTGCCCTAACCGAAGAATAATTTATTTTCATTTAAAAGGTTGGTTGACAGAACAGAAATCAATTTAAGTAATAGTACCGTGTTATTTACTCTAAATAAATAAAAATCTAAACTGATATACCTATGCACAGTTTAATTGGCTTTAATGATATGAATTATAAGTACAGTCTTCCAGTTTCAGGGTTTTCTCATGATATCCTTTGCAAGTACTAGTGCAGGTTAATCGCCACGTTCTCCTTTTTAAATATAAAAAAGCTTGGGCGTCAAGTTTCGCGTCATGGGTATCTCTATATGCACCAAGAGGTGCCGTAGAAAAGTAATGGTACTTTAAGCATTGGGACAAAAAGGTTGATTTAAAACTGTACGGTGTTGGCACAATTCCCTTTCTAGTCCTACCTATACAATTATTATTTTGCAACGCTGCATTGTGTAGGTACAGGAAAGAGAATCTTCCGACATCCGCCTTCACATTTTGAGGAAGGAATCTTGGGGAAATTTTGGAAAATAATAGGCCAATTTGTAAATAAATGCTGTTAATGATGTCGGGTAGTAATTGTGGAAACTTCACGTAACGTAATAAGTTTTGGTGAAATTATAGAGGAAATTCTATAGGTGGGTATATTAATTTTGTGTAAAGAATGGATGTATTTTTCGTGAAGTAAAGTAAAGACTATTAATTAGAGAAAGGCATGTATGGATATTTTGAGAGAATATGACGGAATTTTAGAGGACAACAAAATACTAAAGAAATAAGGCAAAATTTCTCATGAAAGCATGAGGAGGTTTCTAGCAAACTCTTACTGAGGAGATCTAGTAAAATAGGTAGGAAATATGATAAGATAACGTACGACAATAAAATACGATGGGATTTAAAGGAATAAAGGTACATTTTGGGGTCTTGAATGACACTCTGAGGAAATTGGGAAAACATAAAAAGACAAATTCTAAAGAAATGTTGATATTTACTTCGGGAACCCTTGGGTCACTACAAGAAAATTTTGTACAATTATGGATAAGAGTAACTTGGATGGAATAAACTGAAATTTCAGGTATTATAGGGAAAACATTGGGGAGATGGGAAATTAAAAATTAATCTTTAAATAAATACGGTTACCTATTTCGTTACAAAAGTAACGTAATGCAGGAAGCTTCGAGGCGGAAATAATATAATAGTTTTTGGGAGTACATTTCTGTTATTAGTAGCAATTCATAAAACCACAAAAGTCATGGCTATTGCTACTAATAACACATATGTTGAAATTTATTTTTAAATTTGCGCGGTATACCAAAAGCTTTTGCATTTTTTAATTCTGAACAACTTTAAACTCTACAGTTTTTTCTGTAAAATGTACAGGAGGGCAGGATATTGCATAAAACTAATTTTCCATATTAAATTCATACTTACCGTGCACCACCCGGGGTAGTTACTAAAAAGGCAAAACGCCGTGATGAAGAAAATTTCATCCGATCTTTGGTAAAATGTTTACAAATACAGATCACGATGATTATATATATAACATCAGGGAAATTTTATAGACAGTTTTAAAATAACCTATATTGTTTATAAATAAGACAGGAATCTCAAGATATCTTTGAAGGCAGATATCAGAAAGTATCCGGTAATATACACCGTACCTACCTGTATGTGACGTCTCCATAATGAAAGAATTTCGATAAAGAGTAATATAAAGCCTTCTTACTTTGACACTGGTGATATAATTTCTAATGTGCGAGTGCTAAAAGTCACGTAAGCAAATTTTCAAAACCGGAACAGAGACTGAATTTTCTAAAAAGTTACCTAATTTGAAAACAAAATGGATTAAATTGTTAGCAGGAAATTGTTTGTAGATTATTTAAACATAAATAATCTATCAAAGAAACAAAAATATTTGGCGTATCACAAAAAGTACAACCGCCATAATCAAGGAGTGCTATACATGCAAGTTAACTCGATAAAGAGTTTTATTTTTAGTTGGTAACTCGATAACTCCCGTAATCGATGGTTGCTATGCACACAAAGTTTCTGAAAGATTATATACTCTGAAGAGCTGGAAGAGGTAGGAAAAATTACGCTACTTTGCTTATATTAAGTGGTACAGTATGACAAAGGTATATTAGAAATTTTCCATCGATGTCCAAAAAACCCTTCTTTTGTAAATTGAATAAAAGGGTTGGTAAATAGGGCATTTCCTATCAAAACCGAAGAATTCAAATTTTTCGGCAAAACTTGATTTTAACATTTGCTACTGGTATATTGCTCTATTTATTTGTAACATATTTCCAAGGTTGTCAAATCAGACTTTGCTAAATTAGGAACAAAGTCATCTAACTGCTGTAGGGTACTTTGCAATTTTCACTAAGTGTCTACTCTCTATTGCAGTTAACTGCTAACAATAAAGCGCCGGAAAAGTATAATAAAATATTAATATTGTAGGATAACTGTTCGCCAAATAACTAGACACAATAATATTTTACATACGCGTGATTTTGTGTACTTATTCCGTTTTTTGATACACCCGTGATAATGGTACAGCAAACAAAACTACAAAAAATGAATTACTAATTCTTGATTGCTGTATATTATCTAATGACAAATGGATAAAAAAGGTCCTATACGACCTGTGTCAAAATTAAAATGTAACTAAAGGTAATGTATTCACTAACTGACACGACTGTTACGAAAAAAATTACATAACACCAATTTATTTATGCACTTCAAATTGACCGCTATTAATTTTCACACATTTCCTTTTGACTAAAAATTGCAAATGCCCTACATATAATTCTATATAGTAATCAGGATGCATGAGTATGTATGTTATAATGAGACACGAAGATGATAGTAGGTTAAACCACTTATCAGTTAAAGGCAATAGGGCAATTGCATATGATGGTTATGCGTTGCACTTCTAAATGTAATTAGTTTTCACTGGGTCCAAATGTTGATAGATCGCAGTTAACTATAACAAATAAAAGTAATTTGCAAAGACGA